CGAAATCATTTAAAAATCAGTCATTTCTACAAAACATCGAAAAAATGTATAAAAAACGGTCTGTCATTCAGATGAAATTTTGACGAAAAAGTAAGAAAATACGCTTAAAAATCAAAAGAACTCTATAGTTTTCGTGCGATTAAATAGACAAGTTTATTTGTTCAACATTAGGAGGTGGAAAGATAATCATTCGAATTATATCTTGAACTATACATCTGAAGTTCCTCTATCTAGATCAGATCTCAGAACCAAAATCTCATCAGAATGACAGATCGTTTTCATGCATCTTTTCGATGTTTCTAGAAATGACTGATTTTTAAATGATTTCGTCCTATACAATATTGGAGGAAAAGACGTTCCCTTGTCTTCTCTTTTGAATGGTGAAAACCGCAGGGCTCTAGCTATCTTCGTTCAAAAGTTATAAGCATTTTGCCCGATGCTCTTTTTTTAAAATTCCGATAATAGTCATTTATCGATATAGGCCCAAAACAGATTACTCAAATAAAATATGAATGAAAATTGAGTTAAGAAATCTTGATTGGTGCATTAAGAGTTAACTCATATTTTTGAGATGAGTTAGCTTTTAATGCACCAATCATATTCCTTAGTTCGACTTTAACGTTAATTCACTTTCCTAGCCTGTTAGATCTCAAAAGAAGTAGATGGAAGATTTGAGCAATCTTATTCAGAAAAGGAATCAAAAAGAAGAAAACTGATGGATTTAGTTCCATGAACAATCCGTGATGTGATCGATGAATCGAAAAATTAATGAGATGAGAGTGCATTTTATTCCACTATTTGAGATTATTTCTATGAATAATCCAACTATTATTTTATGTCCAATTGGTACATAGCTCATTTTGATTGAGCTATGTAAGTAATGCAATAATAAAGGACCTCCGACAAGAGTTAGTTTCTCAACCTAAGAAAATTAATAGCGATAAATATTTATTCTAGATCTTTTTTTTCGATGGTTTTTCTGTACCGAATATTCAAAAAAGATGTTATTAGTAAACGAACACTATATTTATCTGTCTCTATGCGCTTCATCCTATTAGTGCTCGCGCTGTTCTTTGTATCAGTTTCATTGTTCTGTTCTTTCATTGTCTTGAGAAAGCACAAATTATAATAGACGTATTACACATATATGTCATGCAATGGTTGGCTGTAAAAATGTCGAAAGAAAAAATATAGAAGAGGAAAAATGGTTGACACGTATTTTGAAGAGTTGTGAATAGTAAAGAATATGTTTTATAACATGAGTTAATGTTAATATTATAACAGTGACCAATATAGATAATGAAAAAAATTGATATATCATTTTTTCTGCTTAACAACTGTAAGTTGTTGTTTTATTCAATTTCAAAACATATAGTCATCTGCTACGAGTAAAGACTTTCCTTTATTTGAATTTATAAATGAAATAGCTGGAAATATTGATCGAGCTACGTCAGTTGAAGATGTAGCAGTTTCTGCCATGACAATAGAATTTTAGTTATATAGTAGTTCTTCGTTTAACACTTTTATTTAATTTATATCAAGTATTAGTCATCACAACTACAACTGATTAAACTTTTACACCAATAGAATTATAAAAAAACAACAACAATGAACTAGATGTGATTAGAGACATCATCTTTTTCGATATTTTTTTTGTTACGATATTCCTTCACTTTAATATTTACTTTTCGACATTTCTCCTCTTCTATATTTTTTTCTTTCGACATTTTTTCCTTTCGATATTTTTCCGTTCGACATTTTTCTGTTCTTTTTTTCGACATTTTTTCTTTCGATATTTTTCCAGCACACCCATTCAATCTCTAGCACGACATGAAACTAATCGAGAGATAACTATTCATGTTCATCTACAAATAATTTTTTTTAAATGAATGTAACATATAGATTATTTTGCATTAATTAACAGAATGAATTTTTATTTTGCTGCATGGCAATAGAATATTTTTGTTGCATGAATTTAATTAGAAACTTTTAAATGATATATAGATAAAGAGAATAGCTGTTACATCCCTGCATGTTGATAGTACATACCGTGCATGAATTTAATTCAGAATTTATAAATAAACAGAATAATTATTTTCTCGACACAACTTACGTCTTTTACTATGAGACAGGTAATTTCATAATTCCCTCAATTTATAAGATTGAGTAGATGCGTTCGATACTGATCATACACCTGACAACTAACCTTGCTTTTCAGATATCTTACAGTGAATTCAAGATATAGAGTTACGATTTTCAGTAAGATATAGCCTGGTTGTCATAGTATATCTTCTGACGATTACACCTTTCCGAGTCGTACATATGCTTGTAGTAGACCAAGAATAGTGAGAGTGATCTTTTTTTGAGTTGACTAAAAGCTAAACATCTACTCCACACATAAAAAGACAGATGTTAGGTAAATAAAACTTTTCCATCTTGTCCTGACGAATGAAAAGACGCGTTTCAGACATGTTTTACTGATTAATTCAATTGAAACTTTGAAATTTTTTGACATGCGTCTTTTCATTTGTTAGGACAAGATGAAAAAGTTTTATTTATCTAACATCTATCGTTTTATATGTGAAGCAGATGTTTAGCTTTTAGTCAACTCAAAAAAGATCATTCTTACTACTCTTGGTCTACTACAACACGCGTACGGCTCGGAAAGATGCAATTGTCAGAAGATATACTATGACAACTGGGCTATATTTTGTTAAAAACAAAGATGACTTTTAAACGCGTTTTACACAGTCAAAAATGCCCGAAATTACACGTTTTACAGCGTTGATTTAAGAAATGCGTTTTAACTATATATCTCTTCTACCATTTTAACGATGTGAAGTCGAAAAAAAATACGATCGTTAAAACGGCAAAATTCGGACATTTTTGACTGTGTAACATGTGTTTAAAGACAACACGCAAAACGATCGTTTTAACGCGTCAGTTTCACTTTTCTGACTGCTTGGGTGGTCCAAATGTAAGGTAACACATAATTGTTTGATTTCTTCTTTGAATACGGATGTTGAATCTCATGTTTACACTTATTACACAGGATGATAGGAGTCAAAGGTGTAGCGCACGATCAATTTTCGTATGCAGTAATTAATTTAAAATCTTACAAATAAATCAGACTGATTGTATGGAATCGTTAGGAGAAATTCAATATCTTTCGAGTTCTATTCAATTTTCCGTTTTGTCTGTTTATTACGATATGGCAAATGAAAGTAATTTAATTATGTTGACATCTGTTTACCAAAATGAATACAAAATTTAATTAAACTGGATTCATTTAACAAGTGGTGATAAATAGACAAAATTGAAAATTGAATAGAACGCGAAAAAATATAGAATTTCTCTTACAGTCGCATACAATCAGTTTGATTAATTTTTAGAACTTTAAATAAACTATAGCACTCAAAAACTGATCCTGCGCTACACTTTTGACTAGTATCATACAGTCTATCTGATATAAATATGAGATTCAACTGCTCTTATCAAAAGAAAAAAATCAAACAATTGTATTACGTTATTTTGACTATCCTGTATTTGATGTATGACTTTCTCTGATACATCTCATATCCTCGAAATCGGTAAAAATTCAGCGATTAATCGCCGATTTTTTTCCGATATCCCAACGATTTTTGTGATAAATTGCGATTTTGAAATTGATAATCGCCCTTGTTTCTGTTAATTATAGGCTTTATTTAGTGCACGTAATTTCAATTTTTGCATAAAGTCACTATATCTTATTATTGATTTATAATGAATAATCATATTTATTAAAAATCTTACTATATGCATTATTCTAGAGGAACACGACATACAAAACAAAAAAAATGAATGAAAAATTGAATACAACAAGCAATTATTCACAGTTAAATCAAAATACAATTGAAAACGAAAAAAAATGAAAAGCTCATATGTAAAAATTAATTTCTTGATAGAGGTTTACTTGAAAAAATGCTGGGGATAGTTGTTTTCGTTTATGTGGTGCACATCTAAAAAATAAAAAAGAAATATAAATTCCAATTCAAGAACAGGATTGTAATAGTAATGAGTAAAGATCTAGCATATTAAAATGTTAACTTTTTAAATTCTATATCAGTCAAAGATTGATAGATTTATCTAAAAGTAAATTTTTAACAAAAACATTCAGTTAAGAAAATAATTAATCTGAAAAGAATAGCTGAAATAAAATTATTCATTATAAAAGAAGTTGTTTTGAACATAAACGACTTATTGAGTGTATACGAAGCGTTTTCTTTATTTCAGTTCAATTACTATTCGAGGGCGTGGGTGTGAGTTGTTCTTATTACACCCACACTCCACACCCACACCCAAACAACACTACGTATATGTCCTTTGTTTTAGTGAATCAATTTTATCATCAACGAACAAAGATAATTTACCCATATCATTGTCAATAAAATCATTTGATCTGAGTATTTATGTAGAATGTGACTTTCCTGAATTAAGTCTTATTCTACGTTGTATGTCTAATCTTCGCCGATTCATTATTGCAGCCAGATCTCGACTATCAAATTCACCTATCTCAGCAACCTTATTTGACGGTTATCAATGGAAACGATTGTTGACGAGTCGCGTGCCTCACTTGGATACAATTGATTTTTACTTGTATACGAACAATTCAAGTCTGCATATTGATTCGATCGCTATTATTCATTCATTTAAATATTTTCTTACAAAATTTAATGATTTTCATGTGGCAATCACTCAATCAATATTTCATCCGAATGATCGACGTAAGATAAAATTTATTATTGATCTGCTGAATAGTGAGAATCTATGTGAATACTTTTCAGATGAATATGCTCGATTATGAGCGTTCACGTATTCGAAAAAAGCACGAAATATCTATTTCTTGGGAGAAAAGATGGTTCTTGGCTCATTAAATATGATGTCAACAGTAACAATTGATGATGAAAAGCATCTTTTTTATTCTTATCTCAAAGAATTGCATCTCTTCGTACCGTTGAATAATGGCAGCTATTGATATGCCATCATCTTCTCCAGTATTTCAAAACCTCGATCATCTTATAATTGAGTTTGTATCATTTAATACAACAGCACAGAGAAATGAATTGGATTTAAGTAAGAAGAAAATATTTTCTTATCTTGTTATATCATGAACAATTTTCTAATGTATTTACATTTTTCAGTTCATAAGATGGATCAAGAAGTACGTGCCAACAATATTATGCGTTTCATTGATTTGAGTCAAATAACAAAATTAGAATTTCGATCAACGAACGTTATAAATCAATTATATGTTATTAAACGAATCTTATTGTAAGTTTCAGATTTAGTCAGTAAGTGTCCTTAGTTGATTAAATTCTTACGCAACAAAAAAGTGGGGGGGGGGGGGGGGGTGCAACGAGTTTTTTTGAGAGGGAAATACACGCATATGTCATTTTTTTGAAAGTGGGGGTGCATAACCAATTTTTTAATTTAACGATCTTTTTTTTTCAAAAAAATGGGATTTTTGCTGGGAAAAACTGAAAAATTTCTAAAAGTGGGGGGTGCGCACTCCCCTGCACCCTGTGAACGGCACATCCCTGTCTCTAACTTTTCTCTTTTATAGAACAAGTCCAAAGTCGATTCATCTTGTGATTGGTACTCCGTTGCTTCTTCATACAACATTATTTGACAATTCTTTACTTATACCTGTTTTTAGTCAACTGCAAGCATTGTATATGATACCGGAAAATGTCTGTTTTCCTGTTGAATATGCATCGAAATTAGTCGAACGGTTTCCATCATTAGTTCACGTTGAACTCCGAACAACTTGCCTTGGTACAGATGCATTACTTGTTGATACTCTTCTTCGTGGTTTGGCTAAATTGATTCATTTAAAAATATTTTTTACCTATAAACTATATATCGATGGAACATGTTCAGTCGATTATGTTATAGAAAGGCGTCGTCAAGCATTTCCATTTAATATTTGCAACAAAGATGAAGTTCTTGGCAAAAATTGACAAACAATTATTGGAAATTTATTTGAATGGCTGCTCAATATGTGTAAAGATTTCTTATGTTATTTAAATGAAAAGTCTTATAAAATAAAATTGATATTGTCACTCATCATCAAAATATTCCAAGTTTTCAAAGCTGAAAAGTTTGAATAATTTTTGATGCATCTTTAGTTCGGTTCCAATAAAAATGTGAATCAATCTCATTCAAAACTGATACTCCACAACCAACTTGATGAGTCTTTTTTTTTTGACTAAATGTACTGATGGCAAATACATGAAGTAAAATACAAATGGCAATGAATATAATGAGTATAATAATAATCTCCCATAGGCTTATCGCCCGTAGGGACCAGCTGCGATTATTATTAGGGTCCACATGTAGCCGGTTTCTCTCGTCTTTTCCTTTTTACAGACGATGGTATCTGCACCCTCCCGTTCAACGAACTGACTAACGATGTATTCAGCACACTACGAATGAGTCATTCGAGACAACTTAGCCGTTAGTGACTTGTCCAGGTCATTCCATGGATGGTAATACTGAGGTTTGAACACAGTTCCTTGTGGATACGTGTCGAACAACGTAATCACTCAACTATGGTGACTATAATGAGTATAGCTACATTAATTTGAATGATAGTTATGCTGTGAACTGACAAATTGATCTATAACTACACGTCCCTCCTTACAAATTTCTTTTAGTTTTTATTAGCTATATAAATAATTCTTTTATAGTTCATCAATGATCACATTTCCAAGAAAGATTTCTCAAATTTTTCTTATGGATATCAGCTATGTACATTTTTTTGTTAATGATATATTATAGCTATAAAAGATTATACAAGTGATTTGGAATCATATCGATCGTTCTTATTTTCTTTATGGTAATTCAATCAACTTTAATCACTTTTCTTCTATATTATTGCTATCTCCAAAAGAAACGTATTTTGTTAGTACAAAAAAAATAAGTGAAAGAAAGATATTCACACTTGTCCTACACTTAACTTATTGTTGTAATCATGGACGACAAAATATTTATGCTGTAAAAAGGTGGGATGTGGGTGTGGTTGAGAAGAAGACTAACCCCAATTTCCACACCCACGCCCTTTTGACTTCAGATTTGATCAAATATCGTAATGTAAAATTACTGACAGCAATTTACTATAAACGAGTTTTAAAATGAGAGAAGAACCAATATTCAATCGAAAGACTTAGAAAATCATGTATTAGTACAATCAAATGTAAAAATTTATGTCGAAATGAAATTATGTGCTTTATATAATTTTTCTTTCTGTATTTGATGGTTATCTTACTGATAATATTGACCGAACAACTGTTCTAGTTCTAATATACATCATAGATTTCAGGTACAAATCTGTATCGTAGAGAATGCTATCTAACGTAATTCTAATTTACATATTATCCACTAATTTTGATATTTACAATATACAGATACATATAGTTTATATAGTTTTCGAATAAGAGAAAAAGAATAGAACATCATGACAATGTGTTTCACCATTATGTATTAACATTTATTTTAGTAACAACAATGTAAATACGTATAAGCTTTTCCTTTGCACAAGAAATCTTCTTTGAATATACGAGACATTACAGAACATTTGATCACTCTTTATTACATTCATTTTATAACATTTCGTCATCCTTCATTGGATTCACGTGACAACATTGTATCGTTCTATTGATCGTGTTCATATGAAAGGAAGAGCACATATTTTTCGTTCATTCAAAGCGATTCATTTGTGTTTGATACAAGTATAGGTAGCTTTTATTCGCACACATATAATAATTCTATTCAAAGTGTACATTGTAAGTTACGATTTTCTTTCTCACAATAGGAATGTAAGGGAACTAAACGTTGAAGACATCTTTTATATTTTGAATTGTTTTGTTCGAAACGATTTATTGAGATCATTTAAACAGTGATTTTTCGTTGTTTTTAAGAATGAACTATTTTATTAGAAAGGTTTACTTTTATGTTCATATTAAGCGTCTGATATAGATCATAATTAAATTGAATTATTTTTCTTTGATGTTTTGTTCAATATGTAAACATGCAGTGTTAATAGAAGATAAAGAATCAAACGTGTAAAAATATATAATATGTTTAGCGAAAAAATGATGATGTTATCTTTGGCTTATCCAATTGTATTTAAGCATTGGCATCTTCATTTTTTTTTGTGTCTATTGAACGATAACCACTAGGATCATGATCACACTAGTCGTTCATTTAACAGATGATATAAAAGTCAGAATGAGAGTCATCACCATCTCTCACTGTTTGAAACACACTCTCGTTCCATATTAGAAATTTAACTAGAAGAAAAACAAAAAGGTAACTTTCAACACTTTCGATACTTATCTTTAGAAGTCATTTAAACATTTATTTTTAATGTTCATCATGAGATATGAAACAAACATGTCGAATTGATACTTACATAAAATATCAGTTGATGAATAATTTCTAGAGCTATTATATTTATTATACAAATAATTGTTTATATTCAGAAGATAATAATTCAAATATCAAAAATAATAATGGAGAAAAATGATAAGGAAAAAACATCAAATAAAGAAGCAATTGTACCCGATGGTGGATGGGGATGGATGGTTGTCTTGGCATCATTCTTGATTCATTTCATTATGGATGGGTAGGTGATATTATTATTTTTTTTTTTCATTTCATCAATTTCATATTAAAAATATTTAGAATAATATATTCAATGGGTCAAACATTCTCAGAACCCATGCGTACAAAACTTGCACTTGATCGAGCTTCAATTTCAACTATTTTCAGTATTCTACCAGCTGTCACTCTTGGTGCAGGTAAACTAATTATGATTTTGATTCGATTGTTGTTTTCTTCTGATAATTATATTTCTTATTTTTAAAGGACCAATCGCAACTGTTCTTACGAATATGTATGGATGTCGTAGAGTAGCAATAGCAGGTACTTGCATCGCTGCTTTTGGATTTTTTCTTAGTCGATTAGGGGCGAACGTCTGGTTTTATTATATGACAATTAGTATCATTGGAGGTATGCAATTTCATTATTTTAAAAGATATGAATACAATTTACATGATGATATAGATATTATAAGAGATTAAAGACTTTTCATCAAGTTAATCGAATAATGATTCGTCCATCTATATGAGTTTGTCTTGTTTTATTTGTTGTAATAAGTCACAATAGATTAAAGAGTTCTATTATGTACTTTTATCTAGTATATCTTTACATTCTCCACTTCAACTACTCTAATGGAATAATTTTAAAACTTCTGAATGATAGAAGCTATGGTTTTTTTTCCTAATATTAAGATCGATATATAAAAGAAATCATTGTTGCATATGAAAGTACCGATTTTGAATAATATAAAAGTCAATTTAAATAGACAAAAGGTTAGAAAATTATTAAATTATACTAGGCATTGTTCGTCACATCCAGAGAAAAGGTTCAGTTGAACTACAAAGAATAAATCAAAATAAAAATCAATATTATTGATACAAATAACATCTTACGTAGAACAAAAACAGGAAAGCTTTTCTAATAGTGAAGAAAAGATGGAATAAAATTTTACTTCATTAAAATAAAGCCAATAAAAACACAATGCATCAATTTCTCGATATGATGAACTCTCTAAAACAAAAAAATGCTGATTGTATCCGATTTCAAAACGAACCGTTTCATGTAATATGGTTATTATACCAGCAATCATTTCTTTTATATTCTAATCTAGGATTTTAACCCTCGTCTTTCTCCTCTTTCTCAGGAAAAATCGAAATGAAAAGTGTAATTTTTATGAAATAAGCTGAAAGTTTGCAGTATTTTCCAAATATTCGAGTTTTCCATTGAAACAAAAATGAAAAGAAATGATGACCTTCGTGTGAAAAACATGCCATTTTTTAAATGATGAAACAGACAAAAAGAAATCATTGTATTTCGTTTTCATCGATTCAAATGGAAATTTTCATTAATCTCATTTCGTTATTTTGGTTTGCAATCACCTTCATTTGATGATTTTGATTAGCAAGCAAAATGAAGATATGAAATCAGTGAATATCTCCATTTTAATTTATGGAAATGGAATATATCAATTTTTTGTCCGTTTCATCATTTTCACGTTGTTGTTTTTTTCGTAATTACTATTTTTGCGTTTTGTTCTTTTTTTTTGCACTACGTGCATTAAATATGAAATAAAATCTTATATGAACTTTTAGATCTTGTTTTTACTTGTGACATCATTTATCACCTACCAATAATGCAATAGCAGAAAACAGACTGAACAAATTGCAGATATTTCCTCGTTATCGCTACGGATCTTTCTCAAAATATTCGCAGATGCAGACAAAGTCTATCTTTATCCTCTTTCTTTTTTTCTTAATGGTCAATCCTCTTTATTGCTCTTTTTCCAGAAAGTCTCGGTGGAAAGCCAGAAAATTCTAATCCATAATTTGTCTTACGAGGGAACACCACGAACTGATCAATCGCTATTTAAATTTTAGTAATGCCAA